TAAAAGACATCATAAACGCCATTATTGCGTAATACAGCAAACAAAAAGGATAACACAAAAAATTAAGAAAAATATAATTTTGATAAAAAAAAACAAAAAAAAACACAGAAATAATAATAGCAAGAAAAACAAACAGCAAGTTATTGAAAAATTACATACATGCAGATGTGTGAGTGAAAAAAAAAAACTTTTTTACTTGCATTAGCAATATAAAAAAATACTAACAAAAATGAAGGACATACATTGGTGAAGAAGAGTATTGCCGAGTATTGGCCATTTGTTGTTGTTGTTGTTGTTTTTGCTATTATTATTATTATTATTTTTTGTTATTGCTGCTGTCGGTCCAGTTGAAAATGTCGCTGACTTACTTCGCCCTCAAGAAAATTGTTGTTTTTGTTTTCTTTTTCTATTTTTGGCATATGATTTGAAAATATATTTTTTTTTTGTTTGTTGCGTTGGATAGGTTTGTGTGGGGGTGAGGACAGAAAATATCAAGGATATTATCATTTTAATGTGCGATAAATACAATATTTTGTGATATTATTTTAAGTGCGTTTATATTCCAAATTTACTCTTTTCGGCTATAATATGTGGGTAGCAAGGCAAGCAAGCTGACTATGATTACATTCATATCTATGGCTATGACTACTCTCTGTTGATGACTATGTTGGTAGCTAAGTATGTGTATGTGTGTGTGTGTTAACTTTCTTAAATATATGAAATTTTTTTTGTTGTTGTTTTTTTTTTGTTTTTTTTTTGGCAATTGGTTGTGAAAAACTCGTTAAATGGCAATTCAATGAGCATCATGGACAATACTTGAAATCTTCCTTTCTCGTTTTGGTTTTGGAGCATGAGGCATGAGTTGAAGCATGAGAGAAATTTTTTAATATAAATATTTTTTTTTTTTTTTTGTATATACAATTCGATTTACATTTTATGTATATTTAGTAATATTTTTTTTTTATATTCTCCACACAGCACGTATATGTCTTAGAGTAACTTCTACAGGCTAGTCAAGCCAATTCGTTGCAGTGCCAGGATATTTACCAAACAACTAACTATACATAGACATCAATGTATGTGTGATACATTGGTGTGCATTTGCATTTGTATGTGTATGTGTGTGTGTGTTTGAAACATTACGCTTATGCAATCCATATTGAATGTCAATTGAAAACATTTTGGGACACTTGCCTTGTGTAATGGTTTGGCTATAGTTATTTCATTTTTGCTCTTGTTGTTCTTGTGACAGTTCTTTTGGCACGTTCCAACGATATTCCTCTCGTTTATGACTATTGTTATTAGGCTAATGATTGCGCATCGATTTGTTGATTTCGTAATAATCAATTCAACACACTATTATCCATTAAATTATGTAATATTTAATGAAATATCCATAATATCCTTATAAAAACAAATATATGAAAAGTAGGACTTTTTATTAATAGAAAGTACGTGCTAAAATATATCAAGGAGATTGACATATCATCCGTTGATGCACATATGCTACTCATATAATATTTTCTTTATAAGATTAGTTTTTTTTTTTTTATTATATTGAGTTGTTGAAATAAAATCCTCAATGTAATTTACTAAAGTAATCAAGTCATACACCAAAAATAAGAAACCACAATAGTTCATGTATATAATGTCACACAAATTACGATTTAAACCCTATCACTTCATGCACGCAAGTGGTGTACAGTCAACAGGGTATACATACATACTTATGAAGGCTGTTTTAAGAACGATGGTTTGCATTTAGATAAAGCAGGGTACATATAATTATGAAGACTCTTTTTTGAGAATAATGCTTTGGAAGTGGAACACCTTGTGTAAAAAAGGTCCTAAAAAGTTTAAATAGGATACTTGTGACAGACGTCAAAAAATTGTATTCATACCAGAAAATGTCAAAAAAAAAACAAAAAAAAAATAACAAAAAAAAAAATAACAAAAAAAATATAACAAAAAAAAGTAAGTAATAATAAAAAAATAATAAAAAACAAAAAAAATAATAAAAATATTATAATAAAATAAATAAATAATAAAAAAAAAAAATAATAAAAAAAATTAATAAAATAAAAAATCATAAAAAAAAAATAAAAAAAACAATAACAAAAAAATAAATAAAAATAATTTAGTTTTGGTACATACACATATACTTATAGAGACTCTTTTTAGAAAGTGATGGTTTGCAAGTGGACCACCTTGTGTAAAAAAGATCCTAAAAACCTTGAATGAGATACTCTTGCGACAGATGTCCAAAAATTGTATCACACCAGAAAATGTCAAAAAAAAAAATAACAAAAAAAAAATAACAAAAAAAAAATAACAAAAACAATTACAAAAAGTAATAACAAAAAAAAAAAATAACAAAAAAAAATAACAAAAAGAAAAAATAACAAAAAAAAAATAAAAGTTATAATTTATTTTTGGGCTGGCTTAAGTAACACCTGGCAGTGTTGCCTCGAAACAAGTGCATGTTCAAAAACTTCAAGACCAGGATTATCTACTGTAATTTTAGGAAATTCATTAGAAACTCTCATTATTTTCTCAAATTATAAAGTAAAGTACAACTACTGAGCATTAAGAATTTGTATTTATTTGATAGAGTGTATAAAACATTACAAATTTAATATTAAAATAAAATAATACATTTTCAATAGAGATAGCTAAAAGTATATATAAATAATAAAGTACAAACAAAATGAGAATTATATTTTTTAGTTTAGGCATATTGATATTAAGAACCATAAAATAGGTATAAACGAATGTTTTCCTTGCTAAAGAATTTAACAAAATAAAATATAAAGAAGATATTGTTATTGAGTTTGTTCTGCACCTTTATTATATTAATATAACAAAAATATTGAGACATAAAGTATGAGACATCAATTTACAAGAAAAAAAATAATTATAAATTTACTACACACGTAGAAAGCACTATTTTCTTTAATTTAGCACTATTTATATTTCAGATTATTGGAACTTCAAATATTAGAAATTTTTAATTTTTAGTTATCTTTAATGACGAATAACAAAATTTTGAAATATATCTATACGAAATATGGACACTTAATATTTACTTTAAATGAAAAATCAAGAAAATTAATCGATCCCTGATCAAATTAAAATGAAATTATTAAAATTTATTTCAGTTCCGAATTAGAATTTTTGCCAAAAATTCAAATTACCATACACTTTAACAAAGTACAAGAAAAGAGATGGTTCACGCATGTTGATCCGATAGTTTATGAAGAGAAAATAATCTGTCTTCAAGGCAAGAGGAAAAAATTGTGGCTTGAGCGCAGTAAAAGCCCATTTAATAAATATGACGTATGTGATTTTGACATATACCAGTTAGTTATAGCTAATATCATTATCTATATTAGGTTTAGTTAGGTTGAAGAGGCGGTCTGGTTGACTTAAGTCTACTTAAACGTAGTGGTCCAATGTGATACTATGGATGGTAATGATATTAAACTTTTGAAAAATAAGTTTGCTTTTCGAAGGAGATATATCAAATGTCAATATATCAAAATAATATAAAGTGGTAAAAAATATTTTATAATATCAAATATTAACTCGAATTTATTATAAAGTTTATTTTATATAATTAATATGTTATATATTTAAATTATATGCCTTTAAGAACGTGTTATATTATATATATTACGTCAATTTTATATTAATGGAAATATGTACGATTATTTGTTTTATTATGAATATAATTTATAATAAGTTTTTTGTGTAGCATTATGATATTTTATAATAAAATTTATATTTTTGATATAACAGTTTCTAAAAATATATTTTTATACATTTAATAATTTTATAATTTATTTTTTCGAGTAATTAAATTAAAAACTTTATATTTTAAAAATTATTGTTTTCAAAAATATTTTTTAACATATTTAATGGTTTTATTATTTTATTTTTTGCATATATATTTTGCATTATATTAATTTAATATTAATATTATTTCCTGAAATATACTTCTACATATATAATAAACATATGTACATAAGTATTTAAAATATCGCATAAATTATATATGAAAAAGTATGTAATATAGAAAATTTAAAAACAATTTATTATGTTTTATGGGGCTAAATACCTTTACTGTTGCTATATACATTATTTAAAATAAAAAATATATAAAATTTTATATAATTAACAAGGCAAAAATTAAAAGTTCTATATTTTTTATAAATTCAAACAGAATACTTGAACTTAAAAAATATTAAATTTTGTATAAAAATTCTATTTAAAAAAAATTTGTGGTATATAATTATATATAAACTGAAAATTGTTTAAATATTTTTATACATGTTTCACTTTTTTTTAAATAATATACGTATAAAAATATTAAAATTAAAAATATTTTATTGATGTACTATAATTACAGTGAAAACTCTCTTAAGTGAATACACATCATTGGGTATTTTTTCTAGATCTGAAAAGTCTGTGAGGTTCAAACAAGGCTAAGTTGTTCCAAATAATATAAAAAAAAAATTATATTAAAAAAGTTATGCACTTAGGAGAGGTGTCAGTTCAATAGGGATATCCGTGAAGAGAGTTTTCACTTGTAAATTATTACTTGTCAATTTGTGTTTGTATGTATATAATATATAAAAAATTCAATATATATTTATTTTTTTTATATCTACTAAATTAAGTATATTCACAGTTTTCTAGTAAAATGCAACTAAAAAGTTATTTACTATTTTAAAACATAAATATTAGAGCACAAATGCATTTCAATATCTCTGGTGTAAATTTTTTGATTCGGGTTATGTGAAAAAAAAAAACTATTTTCAATGGAGCAGGCAAATATATAGAAAAAGTATTTATACAAATAATAAATATCAAAAAAAAAAAATTACAAAAATAAATGAAAATTATTTATTATATAGCATAAATATTTATCTAAATAAAATTTTGAAAACGTATGTAATTTATGAGATTTTAATAGAAATATAATTGAATTTTGCACTTACCAAAATCATTAGCACTTATGCCCGATGGACCTGGCAATAGGCCAGGTATACCCTGCAGACCGAGGAAAGCGCTTGGAAATGAATGAGATCGCTGATTATCAATTGAACCGTTCATGCTATCCATTGTGCCATCATGTTGTCCATCACCGCGATCTGATGGTTCAGTATCGCTACTATTTGAATCTTCACCTGCGCTTTGCGCATGCAATGAACCAAGATCGACATGTTGTTTCTGTTACATAAAAAAGAAAAAAAAAAGATAGACGAAAATATTTATAGTATATTTAGTGTACATTTAGTATATATTTAGTAAAACTAAAAAAAATATATTTATAAAAGCATTTCACTTTTTTTTTTATACGCACTTGATTGATTGATAGTTGTTGTCCGTTACTGTTTTCTAAAGCCTGTCCCAGAAGTGATTCGCGTAGTTCCATGGTACGATCACGATCGCGATCATGTGAAGTTTCTCGACTTCTATCACGATTGCGCTCGCGGGTTAAGGGATGTTGTCCAGCTACCGGGAATTCCCGCTCAAGTAGTAAACGTTCGGGACTGATACCATGCTGTGCACGAAATAGATCAGCGCTTTTGATGCGCTTCTGTGGTGGTGGTGTCAGATGGCTATTACGGTTATTCTCGATATCTGTCAGATCCCAGTGATGGTTTGCCTTTATAATAGAGAAACAAAAAAAAAAATAAACAAGAAAAATTAGTTTTATTTTAAAATTTTGTTGTCTAACTAAAAAACGTGACAATTCAGTTACTGGGAACTGTCTACTTTACTTTATTGTTATTGGTTTTTCTTACTGGTGACGCTGAGGAAGCTTTCAATTCTTGTATGGCGGGTGTATTAATGCTGACGGCCCCACTCAAACTATTTAAATTATTAGATGCTTGATTGCCAGTTGTGGATGTGTTGGTTGGTGTGATAGTAGCTGCAGTTGGCGTAGTAAACGGTGATGATGTACTGCTGTTACTATTCTGCGTCTGTGATGTCAAAAAGTTAAGTTTGTTGTTGTTATTATTGTTGTTGTTGCTGCTATTTATATTATTATTATTATTTGCTATTGGCTTAGTTGAAGTACTTAATCCAGCAGTATAGCCGCCACTAACATCTGCCAATCCACGTATTTGCAATAGATGTGCTGTTTTCAAGAAATCTGGCAAGTGTTCATGACTGACGTTCACCTCACCATTATACATAAAGCTACAAAACAAAGACAAAGACAAAGACAAAAAGAAAAAAAAATTTATTAATTATAAATTTTTTATAAGACTTACAATGCTAATATTTTATAATTATCTCATCTTCGCAATAATATTTACCTTAAAAGATTTTCTACATCATCGGAACGTACATCTCGTAATATAACAATTGGGTGCTCGCAGGGATTCGCTTTTAGTAGCTTACGGAAATATGGACTGCAAGCACTGAGCACTACTTTGTGCGCTGTGAATGATCTTGTATCGCAGGCTAATGTTACATCGACAAAGTCCTCCTCATCGCGCAGGTGTCGAAATGAGTTGATCAGCGATGACTGGTAATCGTTCCATTTCAGTGCGTATTGCTGCTGTTGTTGCTGGTGAGTTTGTAACTGTTCGATTACTGTGGATGGTGCAGGTGACACGCATGTTGTGGTGTTACTGGCCACGGCAGATGCGGTAGTCGAAGTCGTCGGCGGAGGTGGCTCCATTTTGACCACCCCGGTATTATTGTTTTCTGTTGTTTGCAGTTGCGTTGATTCGGTCATTTAAGGACGAATGTGTGTGCGACTTTTATAAAATATTTTGATTTTTTCTTAAAAGCAGCTATTTTTATAATTTTTCTCTTATCAATTGGTTTAATAATATATATATTTTTATATATGTATAACAAAAGTATAAAGAATTGTTATGTTTTATATAAATTATTGACAATTATGAAATTATAAGTTATAATTTTGTTGATTTTTGTTCTTTATTTCCCTTTGTTTTTTTTGTAGATTTTATGTACTAATAGAAGCTTTTGTTCATTCTTTGTTTGATTTGCTAATGTTTAGAGTTGATAATAATGTGGAAAGAGTTATCCATTTTCTTTGTTGATATTTTAGTTGCTGCGAGGATTATGGTATTTACACACCCCCGCACATTTACCGTCAAGTGATGGTCACTTTAAGTTAATATTGGAGTGTGATTGGACGGATTCTGAAAGGAAACAAACATAAAGGATAAAAGTTGAATTTGATAAATAAATATAAATATATATATATATATATATATATATATATACAAAAGCAGAAAAAAGGGATATATGATGTACATATATGAATATTTTTAAATGAATTCTATATATATATTAAAAATGCTCTAGAACGTAATGTCTTGAAATCACATAATAGAAACTGTATTTAATTTGTAAATATTTCATTGTATATCTCAACTAATCGTATTTTTATCTAAAATGTTTTTGTTACCCCTCTCCTTTCATATGTTTGTACGTAACGTATTAAAGTTGAAGAGGTCGGTGGGTTGGACTGTTTCAAACAAAGTATTTGAAATGATAGTTTAAAATTTCAATTTTAGGTTTTCCTAACACTTTTTTTTAATTTAACATATATTTGATTAGAATCTAATGCATTACTATGTTAGTTTTTTAGAACCCATTTCTCATTCTAATTATTTTATTGAAGGCATTGTTAAGTACTTTAAATTAATTTCTCATATTAATAATATTAAACATAAAAATTTAAAAATATAATAATTTTATAAAATTAATATTAAAATATTAAGTCTATTTTATTGCAATTATTTTACTTGAATCCATTTTACTTCAAGAGAAGCCCTTACTTCTACTATTTTTAATTCGCCAATAATAAAGGGAATTAACTTAGGCTATGTGTAACTTTACGGTTAATATGGCTTTCATATAACACGACCAGATCTTGGGTATTCATTAAAAAGAACCAAATATATAATATATGACTTACTGCAATTCTCATTGATCATAGGTCTATAGTAGCCTAACTAGAGAAACTGCACATTCCTTGTAATACTCATTGTAAAAGTTGTGAATGCTCGGCTTTGTTCTTCAGAAGAAATAGGTTTTTAGAGAAGTACTTTATTGAGAGCTTGTTAAACATGATCAGTTCATCAGTAAGAAGGAAAGATCTATTAAATTACCTAAAATGGATTTAGTTTTTCCATTTAACATCTTCTGAGAAATGTTGTAGTAAAACTGAGAGAAATCTCTAATTATGTTTAGAGGAAAAACATCTATCAACCTGCCATTGCAACCAACCCAACAAGCAACTAAGCATTTTTTCTGTATTTGCCCAGTTTTGGCTTTGAGAAGAAATAGGTGTATAGGGAAATACTTTGTTGATTGGTATAGACGAACGATCTGTTAATTTATTTAAATTCAATAGGATACATTCAGTGTTGTTGTTGTTTTTATATCTTTTAAGTTAACAAAGATCAATCAAATTTGATTAGTTTGATTGGTTGTGTTTCTTAAAGTTTCACTAGAATCTGATATAAATATTAGGTGAATATTAGTTCATTTACTTTTCTCATTTATATATGACTTGACTCTCAATTTGTTGAAGTCTCACTGGAATTTGGTACCAATATTATTGCTATATTTTTTTATTTAGAGATAACTTAATAAGAGGACTTGACTGTCAGTTTCTTAAAGTCTACTTAGAACTTGTTACCAGTATTAAGTCAATATTAGTTACTTCAATTTTCTTATTTAGAGACGATTTGTTAAGATGACTTGACTGTCAGTTTCCTATATTTTCTCATTTCAAGATGGCTAATTAAGATGACTTGGTTGTCAGTCTCTTACAGGCTCAATAGAACCTGGTACTAATATTAGGTCAATATTAGTTATTCACTTCTCTCATTTATAGATCTCTCATTTATAGAACCTGGTACCAATACTATATCAATTCACTTCTCTTATTTATAGATGCCTTGATAAGTGGACTTGACTCTCTGTTTCTTAAAGTTTTATTAGAATCTGGTACCAATATTAGCTCAATATTAGTAAATTCACTTCTCTCTATTATAAATGAATTAATTGTGCTTTTTGAAAGAGTAGTACTATGTTTGTCTTTAGTAGTGAAGTGTGATTTAAATGTCTTATAATTTAAGTGAAATCCAATACAGTTCTTAAATGAAACAAAGTTCGTACACTAATTTCTATGAACTGTCCATGTTGCATTAATTAATTATATATTATTAAATATATTAAATCATTTTAAAAATTCTAACAAATTCGAATCTTTCTAGAGAGATTATGTTGCATTATTATTATAGTATAAATAGTATATATCAGTGAAGTTACGTGTGCTTTTAATTTGTTTTAAAATCGAAACTATATTTACTGCCAAAGCAGCTCATCAAATAAATTTTTTAAATTAATTGATAATTATCTCTGCTATCATATCAAATTACAAAATAATCTATTATGTTTAAAAAATTGACCTACTTTCACAAAAGTTGGGTTATACATATAGAGTTATCGATACATTGTCTGAAAGTACATCAAATTATGTGAGTTAACGTGTTCAAAAACTGTCAAAAGTAATTATACTTTTACTCCAAAATGTGGTAGAAAATTTAAATTCCAATAAAAAATAAAAAATAAAAAATAAATGAATCAGGAGTTCATTAATTACAAAAATGTAAACTTGTACGGGTAGAGGTGAGCGTACATCACAGAGATATGTTGGAGGCATGAAGTGAAGTTAGAATCTCTTTTAGTGCAACTATAAATCCAAATTAAATATTCAAATAAAATAACGACCTACAACTAAACAGTTTCGTGTTGTAAATATAAGACAAAAACCTTAAGGCGCCAATTGTTACCCATTTAGTTCAGCTTCATCTATAATTTACCAGTTTTTTTTTTTATTTTTTGTTCTCTCACATACTGAAAGATACACTATTTCCTAACATTTCCAAACAAAAGTTAAGCATGCACAAAGTAATTATAACGTTTAAAAAACATAAGAAATGCGTGTTATCAAATGCCAGCCTACTTTGCGCTATCATAGATAAAATGTAACTTCATTCTAGTAACTGCAGAAGTATCTGTACCTGAAAGAAGAAAATAAGTGTACACTCAGATATAATTGTGTTCGCTTACTCTGCACTGTGCACTGCAATGCACTGCACTGTGAACGGGCACCAGTACTCGTATGTGTTCAGATAGATTGCACATAAATGCAGCTAATAAATCTTGGTTTCATTTAACTAAAGTATGCTGTATACAAATGGCTTTATAAATATTTTGATACTCTTACTTTTTTTTTTTTGAACCACTTGGGCAATCTGCTTCGATCAAGTGCAACTATTATTGATAGCACTGGGAAACTAAAAATTCTATGTACTTATGTAACTTCCAACCGTTGCAGCTGAATTACAATGCATTTAATACATTTTATTTATTTATTATTATTATTTTCTTTTTTTATTATTATTGTTGGAGTTTAGAGTACATTTGATAAATTAACGTACATCAATAATGACAGCAAAAAGGTTACCAACAGCAAACGCCGTAACTAAGAGGAGTACCAACCTATCAAAGCAAAAACTAAACAATCAAGCATAGTTCATTACATGGTACGCACTGCAGACAGACAGTAGGTACTTTTACCAACAAACAACCGTGGAGCGGAGTAGCCCAAAACTGCCTTCAAAGTAAACTGCCTTCAACAAATTGACTTCATAGCAGCCAACGCAACGAAGCGAAGCGTCTATGAAGCCCGGCTTTTTAGTTACACTCATATTGGTAGTGGTAGTGGTAGTGGTTGGTAAGTAGCATTTAAGTCAATTGTGGAGTTTCCAAAGTCAACTCGTCGTTTATGAATGTTTATGCGTGCGTAATGGACTAATAAAGTAAGTAGTGTGCAATGGAATTGCTGAGTAGACCAATGGATGAGTGAGTGAGTGAGTTATTGTGTTCCGGGCCGTCTTCATGTCAGTCTGCGTGCAGTGCATTACGAAGATGGATTGCCATTACTTATTTAAGTTTTAATGATCTTGTACAATTATTTAAAATGTAATTTCTTCTATCACTCCTCCTTGGAACAATAACAATGTAGCGCGCTACAGCGGCCCGTTGTAAATGAGTAAATTTAATTGATTTGCAGCTTCTATTAGGCCAACAAATAAAAGAGGTTAAAAATTATGTACAAAACTCTATTATTTGTATATTGTATCTTGTATCTTGTATGTTGTATGTTGTATCTTTTGTTGCTTTGTTTTGTTCGCTTTTGATTTGGTTTGATTTTGGAGGTTACTGAACAAGAGCAACTCATAATTAATGATTCTATTAGATACAGCGTTGATGATCTTGCTGTGTGTTGCAGCCGTAGTGAAGCCACCAACGTAGCGTTCGCTCACTGTTGATAGCTATATTGGGTAAGGTATGTTGGGTAAAGTGGATTATACAGAAGAAGGTAATCATCCATGGGCATTACATTTGACTTAAAGTGTACTATAAATAATTGTTAATAATATGTAATGATTTTTTGGGTTTCTTTTTTTTGTTTTGTTGGAAAGTAATTAGTTTATTAAATTAAATTTTTTGAGATTAAATTATGGATTAAATAAGATTAATATCAATTAATCGAATTAATATGAATATATAAATTATTATAAATATACTACATACTATAGAGAAGTTTCGAAAAGTAGTGAACTAGACAAACTTAAATTCTTTTTATATAATTTTAATTAAATAAAATTATGGCTGACCATACAACTGTTTCGATTAAAAAAAAAACAAAAAAAAATTAAATTTAATTAGAATTCTAATTGAAATAATATATTC